CCCCCACCCCGAGCTCCACCCAAACGACCTCTCGACTGGAGGTGCACGGTCACCCTGGAGCCACGAACAAGGGGCAGAGACGCAGACCACTGGCCCCTCTCCCACCGGCCAGCCATTCTCCCGCTGAGTCCCCCTGGGCTCTCGGCCTATCACTCACGCTTCCTCTCTCCTTGCTCCTGCACATGTGCAGAGGGACACCCAGGCACCTGTCTGAGGGTCCACCCCCCCCCCGGGGACCCATCGTGGGGCATTTTCTGAACCTGGGTCAGATGATGACGAGGGACAGGAGGCCCCTCGCAAACGACTGTGCACTGTCTGGCAGTGTCCGGTGGGAAGCTGAGAACCCATGAGACACGCTCAAGGTCACACGTGGAGGGGACAGCAAAAGCCAGAACCCGAACCTGGGGGTCTTGATCCCCCGCCAGGGGCTCCTGTGCTGCGGATGGCTCTGCCCGCCCCGTCCCCGGAAATGGATGAAGGGGAAAGAAGGGGAGAAGAAGAGGGAGGAAGAGGGAAGCAGGCATGTCAGTAAAAAGCTCGGTTCTGGAGAGACCCTTGTCTTTCCCCCCGCAGCCCTGCTCCTGTCTGGCCTGGAGACTTCCGCCACCCCTCTCCCTCCCCCAGGGCCCCGGAGGCCGCCGCCACCGCCTCCACCTTTCGGAGTCGGGCAGAACGAGGCTCGCTAACTCTCGAGTCCACTGCGGGGGATGGAAAACAGTGTGGAGGCTCCTTAGAACGTGAGCCATAGAACGACCGCACAACCGGACACGCCCGCTTCTGGGTGTGCAGGTACCAAAAGCACTGCCGGCAGGAACGGAGCCGCTGTCCGCACGCCCACGGCCACGGCAGCATCAGTCACGGCAGCCAACGACGGTGGGCACAGCCCAGGGGGGCCTCCCCCACGGGTGGGGGAGGGAGGGACAGCCTGCGGCCGGTCCCCATGACAGGATGTCATTAGGTCTCGAGGAGGACATCCTGCCACCTGCCACCCCACGGGCAGCCCCCGAGGATGTGAGGCTGTGAAATAAGCCAGGAGAACAGATACTGTGAGGGTCCATGTACATGAGGTCCCCAGGATGTCAAGTTCAAAGGGACAGAAAGGAGAATGGCGGGTGCCAGGGGCTGGGGGAGGGGAATTAGAGTTTAATGGGGACGGAGTTTCAGTCTGGGAAAATGAAAATTTTCTGGAGAGGGACGGCTGCCGAACAATGGGAATGCACTACAATGTCCCCGAACTGCATGCTTAAAAATGATAGCTTTTAATCTAACTGTATTTTACCACTATAAACATTTAAAAGTTGAAAGCAAGTCTCCCAGTCTCTGGAACTCCATGGTCCCTCAGGTCCACCACCTGGCGCGCCCGCCCTTCCCTGGATGGTGGGGAGCAGGTGCCCACCCCACATCGACACACCCTCGGCTTCCTGTCATCAGGTAGCAGATGTGGCTCAGGAAGCAGGTCCTCCCAGGGATGCCAACGAGCCCCCCTGCCCTGCCTGGGGCCCCGCCCAACCCCTGCTCAGCAGGCACCCCACCACCCTGAATCGCAGGCAGGCGGACCTGCTGGGTCCCCAGGTTTTCCGAAACAGGTACCATGAGCCCTGCTCTCAGGAGGCCTCCTCCGGGGCTGGGGGCCTCTCCCCGCTGGTCCCCGGCTTTGTTTATTTTCTCAGTGTGTCCGCATCTCTGTTTCCGCCCTGCCCACAGGAGGGAACGCTTTCAAGAAAATCTCAGTTATTAATGTGGTTTCTTTTGTTGTAAGTCATTGCAAAGGCAGCGAGTGAGGGTTTATTTTCCTAACGTGCTTGGCATAGCTCAGCGCCCCGGCACAGACCTCACTCAGCATTTGACTTGGGAGGAACCCGAGACCCCAGTTTGCTCTGAGTCACCGGCGAAGCCACAGCCTTCCTGGCCAGTTCTGCGGGAGCCCGGTCTGGGAAAATCATTGGTAAGAATACGCCGTATCTACTGTGGGCTTTGTGAAAACAAAAGAGTAAAAAATATGTTTAAAAAATGTCTGAGCCTGGTATCCTGGCAGGTTGAAAACATATCAATTTTCTAGCCCATTAGCTTCCCTATAAACTCTTATTTTTCTAACAGGAGACACCCCATCTCTCTGGCGGCAGCCCCTTTGTTTGGACCGGAAACATCTCTGGAAGCCACAAGACAACCCGCTTGCAAGTTTGTCCGAATCCTCAGAGAGGTAGCAGGCCTCCCGGAGGGCCCGGGACTGGGGGACAAAGTCACAGCCCAGGGTCCACCCCTGCTGGCCTGGGGTCCAGGGCCCTGGCAGGTGCCCCGAGGGTTGGCTGCCTGCTTTGGGTCCAGTGGTGTGGGCCGGGCTGACCAGGATGAGGTCCCTTCTCCCACACCTTTGGAGACATCTTGCCTGGGAATTCACAGACAGTGACAGGAGAGGGGACAAGGGGCTCTGGAGAAGGAAGGACTGCAGGAAGCTGGCCTCTCCGGGGCCACCTTCTGTCCCCAGGCCCAGACCCAGAGAGCCAGCTGGGGACTCTCACAGGCCCGGGGCAGCGGCAGGGCACCCTGCCCCTGCCCCTGCCCCAGGGTCGCTCTCCTGGCAGCAGGCGCCCCCAGAATGCACGCAGTTGGCCTCAGGAGGTGTTCGGCTCCACATTAAACATTTGGATTTCATGGGCTAGTGATTTGTTTTCAATCTGATGCACGAGTATAGAATTACCTCCTTTTAATTTTGCCAAGTAAAGGCATTAACATAAAACAATCTCCAGTTATTATTCCCGTTTCATAATGACTATGTTTTAACACCAGAAAAGGAGTAGGGAAGATGTAATCCCATATACGAAAGTATCCTTTAAACTGGAGTGTTCAGCTTCCCGAACAAGTCCTCATTCTGCCCGGGTCGCTCCAATGTGCAGAGGTCTGGAGAAACGCCCTGCGGTCCAGGGGTGCTTACAAGGGCGGGGTGTGAGCCTCTTGTTGACCCAACTCTGCCTGAGGCCCCTCACCTCTGGGGGCAGGCTGATCGCCGCCCTCAGGCCCGTCCTACCTGACCCCGCACCCAGTTGTCCTCTGTCTCCAGCACCTGGGTGTTCCCAGTGTGCCCAAGCCGCTCCTTAGGGAAAGGCCAGAAAGTCCCCCAGGCTCTCACGGACAGTGGCCTGGCCCCGGGGCTGCTGAGGAAGCCCGTGACCCAACCTGATACCTGGGGGCTGCCGTGGCCCGGTCCATGCACCTGTGTCCCCAGGTAACACAGCCACTTCCCCCAGGAAAACCCTCCATCCGAGACCTCTTAGGATGTGCTCAGGAGAAGCAAAGCCTTCCACTGCCCATCCCCACGGCCAGGGGCCCAGGTGGGCATGGGCTTCGTCCCTGGCCAGTCCTCCTTCCTTCCCTCCAACCACTCCTGCGCCCCTCCTGATCCTCTCCTCTCCTCTCCTCCCTTTTCTCCCTTCCTTCTTGGCTTTACCTACAGTTTGCTCCTCTTCATCACTCCCCTGGGGCCCCCCATTCATCGGGGTGAAGTCAGAGACCAGCTGCCCCTCCCACGAGACCTGAGATCTGGGGACCAACTGGGGATGGCAGGGCTCCCCGTTCTGTACCAGAGAGCACCCCACTTCACCCCTGGCCTAAACCAGATACCCCCTTCCACTTTTCCCCCAGGGACTCCCCACTCCCATGGGTGGGCCTGCCCACTTTACGTTCACTCCACAGGGAGAAGGGACATGTTGGCCCGCTGTGGCTGGTGGGCGGTGAATGCCAGTGGGAGCCGGTGGCCACCAGACACAGCGGGCACCCGCCGGGCACTCCCTGAGCTACAGGCACGTATCAGGTACCCCGCCTTACACACGTGCCCCTGAGGTTTCAGAGAAGGCAGCGGGCGGCACAGCCAGCTCGGCACCTCCTGTCATCCTGGACGCGGGTCTTGCCGCCAGTGCGGCTCCCTGGGGACCTGGAGGCTGGTGCAGGAAGTGGGGGTCCCGGGGGTGGGGGCAGGTGGGAAGGCTGCTGGAGTCTGGTGGTGGGTGACTCTTAAAGGGTCCAGAACGTCCAGCAGGCCGGTCTGTGTTCCTGAGCTAGGGGATGGGGACAGGGGTCCCAGACCATCCCACCTCCTACTCAGGGTGTGGGTGAGCAGCACCGACTAGGGCGCCCCTGCTTCATGAAACTGCCCGGGGCTGGACCTGGGCTTTATCTTCCTTTTCTCTCCTTGCTGCCCCTCCCACTTCTTACCAAGGGTTCAGGACGCTTCCAACCAGCGTGACTTATTTTGAAAAAAGCCACTTGGGTGGGTTGTTTGTTTTTAAAGCCCCTTCCTGATGACCTTTAACCTTATCAGGAAAAGCGAGGCCTAGCTGGCTCTTTAGGGCTGGGACATTCCACCTAGGAAACTGCTAGCCGGCCAGACCGGAGTGGGGGCAGCCCCCCACCCCCACCCCGCGCGCAGGCTACAACCCAAGTGTTCAGAAGTCCTAGTGCAGCCAGGGAGGCGTCACGGAGGGAGGGGGCAGAGCTGGAAAGCCAGCGCTGTGGCTTGGTCTCTGTGCTCCTCGGAAGCCTCAGTTTCCCCAGCTGTATGATCGCACCCACCTTCCCAGGCTGCTTGGGAGCAGGGCCCGCGAGGGCTGCCCCGGAGCTGGCCCCAAAGGCAGCCGACCTCCTCCCCGACCCCACCACGACTTGAGGTAACTTAAGGCCAAAAGGCGGCCCCTCCCCGGTGGAGAGCTGGGGTCACCGCACCCCACCCCACAGTAAAAGGCAACCTCCACTGTGGCCGCCGGGCAGCCTGACCCACTGCGCACGCGGGGCGCCCGCACCCCGGGGAGGTCCCGCCACACGCAGTGTGTCCGCCAGCGCCCGTTTCCTTCGCAGCCTCGGACCCGGCGGCCCGCGCGCCCCGCGTCTTTGCCTGCCGCGTGCGCGCTCCTTGGGCCCCGCGGGCCCCCAGCCTCGGCCCCCGAGAGCCCGGGACCCCGAGTTCCGCTCCCACGCCCCCGGGCCGCGCCCGCGGAGCCCGCACTCACCGTCCTGCGGCGCCGCCTCGCTGCCGCTGCTGCCCCCGGACGGGTCCCGCGCCGCGCCCTCCCGCGCCTCGGCCCCCGCGGGACGCGCTGCCAGCCGCCCGGCCGCGGCCACCTCCTCCAGGTCCAGGAGGTGGCTCACCGTGAAGTTCTTGCGCGCCTGGGCGCAGTCGCCGGGCCCCAGGGCAGAGGGCGGCGGAGGTCCCGGGCCCAGCGCCGGCTTGTCCACGGCGAAGGCGGCGGCCGCGCTGTCCATGCCCGCGAGCCGCCCCGGGGTCGCCGGCCGGGTCGCCGGCGGGGTCGCAGCCAGCGCGCCCCGCCGCCCCGCACTCTGCCCGGCTCCGGCCGCCTCCCGGCTCCGTGGCCACCCGGCCCGCCCGGCGCCGACGTCGGGGGAACCAACTTTCCGCCCTCCCTCCTCTGCCTCCTCGCTCTCTCCCAAGTTGCGAGAACACGAGCCGCTCCGGCCACACGCCCCTTCTTGAAGCAAACCTCGCCCGGCCTCTCCTCCTGCCCCTCCTCCCCGCCCCTCGGGCTGCAGGCTGGGAGGGGGTCCTGCGCCGAGTCCGGCTGGCGGCTGGGGGCGGGGAGAGGGGGCAGAAGAGAGGGCGTCGCCTTCCCACCCACATTTTAAGGAGCGGGAAACTTCAGTTTTGTTGCTGTTAATCCCCGCGCAAGTGTGTGGGGAGGTGATGGTGGAGGGGTTAGCAGCCCCCCCATGTACAAATTCCTCCGCGGGGGTCTGGGGAGCGACTCAGAGACAGTTGACCCCCCCAGCTCCGCCCTCGCTCCCCCTGCGCCCCAACACGGCCCCTGTCTTGACCGAAAGACTCAGAGGTCTTCTCTGCTCCACCTGGTCCCAAGTTCTCTTCCCCAGAAAGCCCCACATCCTCCACCTTCTAGGGTGCATGCGCCCCCCACAACACCCCTCCCGCCCACCTCCAGGATGCGCCAGGCAGCAGAGCCCCTCCAGGATTCCTAGAGGATAGACAGCCAGACGACAGCCAGACTGACAGATGGGTGACGGGGAAAGAGAGGAGCAGGCTGGGGTCTCTGCTCCTGTTGTCGCTTTTGAAGGGAGGCGCAGGGCAGTGGCGCCCGGCGGCTGAGCCGACTCCAGGCCCTCCAGGTGTCCCAGGTCTTTCCCCAGGAGGGGTGGCTGCTGGCCTGGCCCTGTCCGCCCTGGCTCTCAGCAGAGCCCCAACAGTCATAGCAACAAAACTAAGGCCACCAGGCGGACTTCAGAATGTCCTCTCTGGGGTCCCACACAGAAAGCCCACCCTACGTGCCCCTCTTAAATCCTGCAGGCCAGCAGCATAGGTTCTGTGTGACTTGGTTTTCCGTGTGACCCACAAAAGAATCACTCCCCAAGTGAGGCTGAGTGTCCCGCCACAAGCGACTTGGGCCACGGCCATCCCTGGGGGGACGCAGGTGGGCAGGCTGGGGGTCCAGAGACGATACAGGTCGTCAGCAGAAAGCCGCCCCGGAGAGCCCCGCCCGGGCACCGGGGGCTCCTCAGCGCTGCCCATGGTGTGTGCGGTTGAACAACCTTCTGAAGGACCGAGCAGGGTGGGCCCAAGACGCAGCCCCGGGGACCATCTGGGAGGGACTCGCCCCTGGCAGAGCACCCGGCAAACCCAGAGTGGGGACTTTTCTGGGGACAGGGCAGCCCAGTGTTTGGGACGGTCTGGTGCCGGAGACGAGGTTGCAGGCCCAGCTCTGTTGTGCACTGCCGGGGGACCTCAACCACGCAACCTTCCCTTTCGGACCCCAGCTTCTCTCCTTGTAGAACAGGCCAATAAAGCACTATCTCCCTCGCTCGTGGGGATTCTGTCCCTGGGAACTCCTGGGCCCGTGGCCGAGAACACAGAGAGGGTACTGTCTGCACAGGCCTGCGGAGCTGGGACGGCCCGAGAGGTCAGGTACGTCCCATTCCCTCGGACGGCAGGGTGAGGGACTGAGGCTGAAAGGCAGAGGCTCTTTCCAGAGCCAGGGAACCACCGACGGGGTGCGGTCCGAGCCGTTAGCTGTGCAGGTCGGCAAAGCAAGGTGCCGAGGTCTCTCGCTGAGGCCGGTGGTCACCGCGCCTTCCAGCGTCCGCTGGTGCGTTGATTCATCTGTGTGTGTGAAGAGGGAATATCCTACCTCTCCGTGGGAGGATGGGCTCTGGCTCCAAAACCAGGCCTTGCACTTCCTTGCTGGGGACCTTGGCAATCTACTTAGCTTCCGTTTTTCTTAGTGTCTCCTCTGTAAAATGGGTGCTTAGGATGATTAAGTAAGTTCTTCTTTTAAAAGATTTTATTTCATTTATTTCTAATAAGAGAGGAGAAGGGAGGGAGAGAAACATTCTTGTGGGGTTGCCTCTCACGCGTCCCCTACTGGGGACCTAGCCCACAACCCAGGCATGTGCCCTGGCTGGGAATTGAACCAGCAACCCTTTGGTTCACAGACGAGTGCTCAGTTCACCAAGCCACACCAGCCAGGGCTTAAGTAAATTGATAAATGTGGGCCCTTGGTACTTAGTGAGCGCTCAATAAATGTTAATTACTATTTTCTAAACACCTGTTTCCAAGAAACAGTACAGGGTAGTGCTGGCAAACTTGGACTTCAGAGCTGGTGAGATGGGTTTGAGTGAGTTCACTGCCATTTACTGGCTGTGTGGCCTTGGGGCTGGGGGTCCCGAGGGGGGTCACTCGCTGGTCCTCTCTCAGTCTGATCTGTCACCTGTGCAAAGGGATACCAAAGAGGCCAGCCCGAAAGGACTCTAGTGAATTTGGCATTATTATTATTATTGTTGTTATTGGGTTGTTGCTACCCTTGCCAGTCCCAGGCTGGGGGTCGAGTGGTCCTCTGATGGCAGTTGGGGACAAGTTGCTGGGACTGCTACACCAAACCTCAGCTCTTGAGGAGGAGCTAGGCCTGTCATAGCCTGCAAATGCACCCAGGACAGCTCCGGCCAACCCAAGGATGGGGGGACTCATCACCCCAAAGGGAGACGGATAAAAACGAAGTTCCTTGCTCTGTGAGTTACATAAACCCTACGATGCCAACCCCATGTGGGGGATGAAGGGCAAATGGGGTCCCAGTTTGGAACCTCTCAGTCCAACAAATGTTCATGGAACCAAGTCCTGCTCTAGGTGGGGGTGGGGGTGGGAACAGAGCGGGCACAGAGGGCCCCTGTTCTCCAGACGGCAGGCCGTGGGTTGGCGACCCTGCGGAGATTGGGTCCTGGGTGTGGCCTCGAGTGAAAATGCACATTTGCCCCCGTTTCAGAAGACCACATGCCAAACAATGACAGAAAACAAACAAAATATGTGAACTTTTGTTATGACAGAAGCAATATGCTTTTCGTGGAGATTTTAGAAAACAGTAACATTGCGAAAATAAAACTCACTTGCCCCACTCCCAGAGATCTCGGACACACAGTAGGTATTCTGTACATTTTTTAAACTTAGTTTAATGACAGGGATTGAAGATAACCATTTATTTATTCAATGTTGAATTGAAGACCTAGGAAAAGCAATAACAGAAGAAAGGGGGCTTTTAAAATACATTTTTCGATTTCAGAGTGTATCTTCCTAGTCTTATATCTACGTTCTAGGTAGAGTATGTCTTACTAGCCCATATCTATATCCTAGATGGATGGGGAAATAGCCACAAGTATTACAAAAGCTGAGCCATGAGGTGCCAACGTTTAAATAATTGCTTACCGTGTCATTTAGTCTCGCCCGCCACTGTTTTTCAGGACAGCCCGGAGACACACCACTCACTATTGCTATACAGCCATAGTTATTTTCTTGATAATAAAGACCTAGCAATAGACTATCTGGGTGCAGTAGGCAGACAAAAGCCTCCCGAAGATGTCCCCCCCCCATAAGCCCTGGGACCTGTGAATACAGCAAAACAGAAATTAGGTAGCAGGTGACATTAAGGCTCCCTATCAGGTGACCTTAAGAAGGGGAGATCGTGCCCTGCCTGGTGTGGCTCAGTGGGGTGAGTGCTGTCCTGAAAACCAAAGGGTCGCCAGTTCCAGTCCCAGTCAGGGCATGTGCCTGGGTTGCAGGCTGAGGCCCTGGTTGGGGGTGTGCGGGAGGCAACCAGTGGATGTTGCACTCCCTGTTTTTCTCCCTCCCTTCCCATCTCTCTAAAAATCAAATAAAGCAGAAATAGAGGACAGCCACCAGGTACATTAGAAAGCTAAAAAAAAAAAAAAAAAGAATGGGAGATCATTTTAGACGACCCGGGTGGGCCCCGTGGAATCACGAGGGGCTTCAAAAGCGGAAGAGAGAGTTAGGGGCCTCATGGTGAGAAACGCTGGCCACTGCTGGCGTTGGAGGTGGAGGAAGGCAGCCGCCACCTAAGGGACGCGGGCAGCCTCTAGAAGCTGGAGAAGGCAAGAAAACAGAGTCTCCCCTAGAGCCTGGGACAGAAGCCCAGGCAGCCTGACACCTTGGGATAATACATTTGTATCGCTTCGAAACACTAGCTTTTCGATCATTTGTTACAGCAGCGAGAAGACAACAAACACTGGGTCAAAGATTCCCCGAAAGATTTAAGGCTTTTGAAGGTATTGCCGCAGAGCCTGCAGAAGCGTATCCGTGTGTCTGCCTCTGGCGGGGTCTCTGTGTGCTTGCTAGCAGGGGCTCCGCCGTTTGTGTGTTTGTATCTGGCAGCATTTTTATGGTTTTATTTAGCACAAATAAAAGAGCACTTGAACGTGCACGGGAACGTCTGTTCGTTTTCGCCATCAGCCGGGCGTTGGGACTGTGACTGATGGTGCCGGCTGCTCCTCCCAGGCAGCTTCGCCGCTTAAAGGCAACGCGGTGGCAAGATCGGGAGCGACCTCGAGGAGTGAGATTTGTTGCACGTCAGCGACGGTCACTTCCTGCTCCTTGACGCTGCAGGTCTTAGAGGAAACGTTGTGGCAACATCGGGAGCAATTTCACAGAGAAAGATTTGTTGCACACCAGCGACATTTGTCACTTCCTGCTCCCTGACACTGTGGACCGGCAACTTCCGGAAGTCAAGGGGTAGCGTGTGTTTGGTTTTCTTATTGCCCCTGTCACCGCTGTTAGGCATGGAAACAGCTCTCGGAGAAGACTCAGGGGCTGTTTCAGTGCCGCTGGGTGCCTGCCAGTTGGGCCTAGTTTTGATCTTCTTGGTTCTGTCTGTGACGATCTGAGGCTGCCCAAGGGCCCGAGTGGGGACTGGCTGCCATCTCTGTAGGCAGCACCAAGGAAGGGCGGTAATAATGACCGATTTTTAATTTCAAAAGGCATTTTCTCATTTTCATCTGCCTACCTTGAATTATTTCTGAAGGATTTTCTTTTTAGTATTTGATAGCCACTTACATTTCTTATCTGTAAAAGTCTATACACATTCACTACACATTTTTGTACTAGACGGATCCTCTCCTATTTCTTATGGGGTTATATTAGTGTCATTCTTTTTTCTTTTTTAGAGGGAGGGAGAGAAACGTTGATTGGTTACCTCTCAAACACAGT